GCGTCTGCAAGCCGCCTATTGTGAGTGTCCCTAGAAGCCATGAACTGCCCCTATTGTGTGCTCAGGCTACCCTTGCCATGAACTGCCCCGATTGTGTGCTCAGACTACCCTAGCCATGAACTGCCCCGATTGTGTGCTCAGACTACCCTTGTTTGCACTGCCCCATGGCGTGCCCGGAGTATAGCTACCTGGACTGCACCCTGAGGGCTTGAGCCATCGCTACCCAAACTAGACCCCATAGTCAAGGTCCCGTTGAGTCTCCGTGAGCCTGATGTTGTCCTTAGAAAGCTGTGGGGAAGCTGTGCTGAGGTCAGACCCCATAGCCAAGATCCCGCTGAGTCCCCGTGTGCCTGATGTGGTGGACAAGGAGCCTGTGGAACAGGCCGCTTTGGTAGCTGCGGTGGAAGGCAAAATAGTATGAGCCTGGGTGACCGAGGATGAGGAGGATGAGGATGGCTGAGTTATCCACTCCACCACCTCTTCTGCATGCTGTGGCTCAATAATACGGCCAGCACCAGAAAAAAAGAACAAGCGTATCCTTCCTGCAGAGGATACACCATGTCCACGACTACCACTTTTTTCTGTGGACACAGAGGCTGCTTGCCCTCTCTTAGCTGCCTGTGAACATCTGCCTCTCCTTCTTGGCCTTTCGGACATGATGGGGATTTTTTAGGGGATTTTGTAGGGGATTTTTCCACTTTATTTTTCTGTGTGGGATGGGATTTTGGTGCTTGGGTGCAATATGTTTGTGCTTGGTACACTATAAACTGTTTTTTTTTTTGCTCCTATAACAGTGCATGAGGCTACTGCTATAACACTGCACCAGGCTACTGCTATGATACTGTACCAGGCTACTGCTATAACACTTCACCAGGCTACTGCTATAACACTGCATGAGGCCACTCCTATAACACTGCATGAGGCTACTGCTATAACACTGCACCAGGCTACTGCTATGATACTGTACCACACTGCTATAAACACTTCACAGGCTACTGCTATAACACTGCATGAGGCCACTCCTATAACACTGCACGAGGCTACTGCTATAACACTGCACCAGGCTACTGCTATGATACTGTACCAGGCTACTGCTATAACACTTCACCAGGCTAGTGCTATAACACTGCATGAGGCCACTCCTATAACACTGCACGAGGCTACTGCTATAACACTGCACAAGATCTCCCCCATAACACAAACAAGGCAGTGTTATCAGCAGCCTTAAACAGTGTGTGGCGTGGTCTTAGCCCCTGAGCCATGATTGGCCAAAGTCACCAAGACTTTGGCCAATCATGGCTCTTCCTGAGAACTCAGTTGTGATTGGCCAAAGCATTGCACCTGACCTGTGTTGAGGTGCATTGCTTTGGCCAATCACAAAGCATGATTTACATTGTTTGGGCACCTTGGGCGAACTTCCCGCTGAACACCCTTACCGTTTGAGTGTTTGCCCACTAGGGACTGTTTGGAGCGTCCTGAAGCCGCTCCTTGAGGGGGGGGTACTGTCAGGAATGGACTCAGCACTGGTGGTGGGACTCACCTGCCGTGTGGGCTGCAGTGCCAGGGCTGACCAGCGGGTGCTTTCAGCAGCCAGAAGCTCACTTCTGCAGTCAGCCAACACCTAGGGCTGATTACAGCAGGTGTATTTAAGGAATGACCAGGCCTGTGATCTGTGCCTTGGTGTAAATGTTTCCCATGAGCCCTTGTATCCTGTATCCTGTGTTGCTGTATACTCCGTTGCCGACCTCTGCTTGTTACTGATCCTGCTCTTCTCCTGTTTAACCCCGGGCTTGCCTGACTACTCTTCCGTCTGATCCCTGGTACTGTATTTGCTCGCACCCTGCTGAACCTGGCTTGTGACCTGACCATTCTTAGCTCGCTCCTCTTGTACCTCGCTGCCCGCATAATACCAACCCGACCTGTCTGACCACGCATACTGTACCCGACCTTCCATCCATCCATCCGGCTCGGATCAGACCAGTGTATCTGTCTGCCTCTTCCAAATTAGATTCCGTTCCTGCACTCCCCTGTCAGTACTCTCTACCACCGCAGGTCGCATTCGGGGGTCGTGACCTGGTTCCAGTCTGCACCAAGTCCATCCCCACCATCAGGGGCCCTGGTGAACAGCAGGCTGGGACTTAGACCCCGCGCCCTGAGGACGTCCGTGCGGTGGGCTGCTAGAGACTCTGCCAGGCGGCTTAACAGTACCAAACGGCCTGCCTGACCATTCCACCTCTCCAGTCCTGACTACGCCTGTGTTCTTGAAGCCTGCTACTTCCCTGTGTCAGTCCACACATTTCTGATCACACCCGGATCCCTAACACCGACGGAGGGAGAGAACTGTATGTAAACAATACAGTTCTCTCCCCTGTCAGTTCCTGCACACTACTTTGCATGGCTCTGCATAGCAGTGTGCTTGCAGTGGAAAGCAGTAACACAGCCCACAGTAAAACAGCACACAGTTAACCCTTTGATCGCCCCAACTTTTCCTTGCCAATGCCATTAGTACAGTGTCAGTGCTTTTTATTAGCACTGATCACTGAATTGGTTTCACTGGGGATGTCAGTGACACCAAGTCAGTTTCCCCCAGTGTCAGAATGCCCACCACAGTCTCTCAATCCTGCTATAAGTCGCTGATTGATACGATTACTAGTAAAAATTAAAATAAAAATCCCAATGTATAAACTGCCATTTGTAAACGCTGTAACTTTCACATAAATCAATTAATTTACACATTTTGGGATTTTGTTTTAGCAAAGACATGTAGCAGAATACATTTTGGCCTAAGTTTATGACGAAATTTGATTTTTTAATTTTTTTTACTGGACATATTTCATAGCAAAAAGTAAAAAAAATTGTTAGTCTTTTTTTTTTTATAATGCAAAAATAAAAAAGCATAGGCGATCAAATACCACCAAAAGAAAGCTCTATTCGTGTGAAAAAAAAGGGTGTAAATTTCATTTGGGTGCAGCATTGCATGACTGCGCAATTGTCAGTTAAAGTAACACAGCGCCGTAACGCAAAAAATGGCCTGATCAGGAAGGGTGGTAAATCCTCTGGAGGGCAAGTGGTAAAAACACAGCAATCACAGTGAAAGCAGGGAAATAATTGTACATTCATTTCATGCTGAATTAGTGCTTACTCACAACACATCCATAGCACATAGTTAAAAAGTCAGTGTGAAACGTATCAACAGTTTTTTCCTCTACTTTCACTATGACTACTGTTTTTTTTTTTTTTTTTTTTTTTAGTCCTTGCGACCTGCAGTGGGTGTCAGTGCAATGTTGACAACAACCCGAACACAGGTCGCAAACGCAGTAAATTCACCTGCACTGGAACGCATGGTACAAAAAATATCATGCAATCTGGTTTCAGCGCGTTTCTAAACGTAGTGTGTACACTACTTTGGTGCGATGCCATGCAATTTGAGCCCATTATTCTCTTCTCCTTGAGCTCAATCACTGCAACAACTTCACCACATGCATTCACCAGCTTGAGTGCAGTCTTCATCCCAGATCAGAGCAGCTCCATCGCACATGGCACTAAACACAAAAAGCCCCAGGGATGATTATTTGGACAGCTCACTTAACCATTGGATGAGGAGGCAGTGGCAGCGCCCCCTGCTGCCTTCTCAGCCAATGGGTAGCTCTCTCATAAGTCCCGCCTTCCTGATATCACCTGGGATCTCCCGAGTCCCGGCCTGTTTTGGAGGAAGATGACAAAATTTATACACAGCCTTCCTGCAGGGCTTCTCTGCCTATAAGTAGTGTGGAGAAGACAGGCTGGTGTGTGGCAAAGCAGTTCCTGCAGTTACACAAAGGTTGCACTAGCCTTGCTGCAGTGATGTTGATGGACGCTCTTGGGCAGAGGATTTGAACCCCCTGACTTCCCCTCTTATCTACGGGAGCACCCATGTCACTGCTGTTCAGACCTGCAGTATTTATGCATCTCTAGCTACAGGAAGCAGAACAAGGATATAAAGTATGGGCTTTAACTGGGTGTGTGGAAACCCTACATGTGGCATCCACCAACACGGCCCCCTTCCCATAATGCTTACAAATTAATGTACCCTACAATTTATGAACTGTTATAATCTGATACTTTTACATATGTTTTCAAAGTATTCCTTAATGCAGGGGTATCCAAATTTTCTGAACAAAAGACCAGTTTACTGTTTTTCAGACTTTAAAGGGGCCAGACTATGGCCAGTGGGAATAGAAAATGTCCTGGCATCAATGGGAGTGAACAATGCCCTATTTTTGGTATTAGAGAAATAGTGTCCCATCACTGATGTCAGTGGGAGGAATAGTGCCCATCATTCCTGTCAGTGGAAGGAATAGTGTCCCATCATTGATGTTAGAGGGAGGAACAGTGCCCCATTTTGGTGTCAGTGGGAGGCATTATGTCCCATTGTTAATGCCAGTGGGAGGAATAGTAAGGGCCAGATAATGGCAAGCAAAGGGCTACATCTGGCCCCTGGGGCCACAGTTTGGAGACCACTGACTTCAAGCATAACAATACAACAGGAGCACCACACCAAACAGGAGAGGGTTCCAAAATTCTTTATTGGTCCTTTAGCAAAATCAAACCAAAGCCAAAGTGCTTCAAGGGTCAAAGAACTCCCCCTTTGTCAGGGCTACAGAAAATCATATAAACATAAAATTATATTTAAAAAAACAGTATAAAAAGTCTGAAAACGGAGCTATTAGTGGTAAAAAGGGGAAGAATAAACTTTAAAAAAATGATGACATACATACAGTATATAGCCATAAAACCAATCAACAAAATTAAGAACTGTGACTCCTTGGTGTGATCTTTAGCATGACATACTGTTGCTTAAGCAGTCTGCCAGGGCCAATAAGCTTGTTGAATGATTTAATGCTCATTACTCCAAGGAATCAGTGCTGAAGTACCAGTACCTTTTTGAAGCCTTCAAATATTCCTGCCATTCAATACAGTACAAAACAATGGCAAATAAGTGTCTTAAAATGAACATGTACCTCCATATAAACTGCCTTTCCATGTGCGTCCTGTGAGAAGCAGAAGAGGATCAAATGTGACCTTTTCATCCTGGGGAGCTACGCCAATAACCACACTGGTTCCATATCCTGGGTGAGTGCACTCCAGTGCTGCTTTCTAGTACCAAAGGAATATAGAAATCAGGCTGTGGATGTACATGCCTTTGAAATAAATTGAGCACTTATAAAATACCTTTACCAACACAGGTGCCATAGAAGCTATATAAATATGAAAATGTACAATGTCATGATGAATCTTTGTAAAAATTCCCACACATTGCTAATCTCAGAATGACAGATGGATATTCTGTATGTACAATACCTTACAACATGTTTATTCTGTTTTTTTTCCTTTTACAATTAGGCAGGTCATTGTGAAGTAATCTATACTGATTTGAACTAAAATCTAAATGACCTCTAGAAATTACTGTACTGTTCTTATTGTTATTGCACTATGCTCAGTTTTAATAAAAAGACTTACCAAAATGAATTCACAACTGAATGAAGTGTATGAAATTTTCATTTCCAAGAGTTATTTTCTAATTTTATCAACCAAAACAGTTTATTCCATAAATTTAAAGTTGATATGCTTAATTTACAACCCCATTATAGTATACTTTTTACAGTATTCTTTATGTAAATATCAATTCACAAAATTATTGCATGCACTTTTTCTTTTGTCTCCATCTACTTTCTTCTCTGTAACTCTAGCCCAGTGAATTCCATTTGGGAGTACTGGCCTCCAAGAAACACATTTATCTGATTTCTAAGAATTGGCCTGTGTCTCTCACTCAGCTTCCACAATAAGTAAAGTTGATTTAAAGTTGTGATAAACCCTAAAAAATAATATTTTGCAGTTTACCAATCCATGGCTGCATCGGTTTTCTTTTTTAGGCTTTTTTTGGTTTTATTTTACTTTTACTTGGTGATCAGGCCAGTAAAACACATCACTTATTAGAGTGTCTCCACTTCACTGGAGGAACAAAAGAGACACCTTTGGGAAGTAGTATTGCCAGTCTGGGAAGAAGTGTTGGATGGACTCATAGAGTTACGTGAACATTACACAAGTGATTATTAAATTAAAGCTTACCTCTAGCTAATACTTTTAAATTAGTAACAGCAACATTTTTCCTCATGGGATAAAGGTTACATAACCATATTTAAATAAATGAATAAAAGCTAACCATTGTTAGCACCCCCATCAGTGTTAAATTGTTTGCACTTGCACCAGGTGAAAATAAAGTAAAAAAAGCCTAACAAAATTAAAACGAATAAAATTAAAACGAATTTAGCTACTACATCCTAAGAATTGGTAATTTGCAATATATTAGGTTTTTGTTTTGGGATTAATACCACTTTGACTGTAAAGCCTAACTTTAACTGTAAATCCTAACTTTACCTTCCCTGCCTGTGCCCCAACCTACCTTGCTTTTTTCAAATGTTCTTTGGTCAGGTTGCTATTTGCCTCTTCTTCATTGCTGGGTGGTTCTCAATGATGCAGCAAAAAGTGCCGCCATGATGAAGCCAGTCCAGCTCTTTGCAACATTTTACCTTGATTATCATTGCAGTCATAATATCTTCCTTTAAACTGGCCAACTATTGGCTTTTTCCTCATATAGAGATGACAGGTTATTGTGAGTATGCTTAGTTTGATTTTATTATAATACGTAAGTGGTGAGAAGAGACTAAAGAAATCAAAAGGCCCCCCAACCAAATCAGTTCCTAGCACAATAAAGCCTTCTTCAGAGTAGAAGATATTCACATGTCTCATTCCATCACATTTCTGGACAGTGGATAGAGCCATGCATATTATTCTTTTACGTTCCATCAGCCAGATGCACATCCAGAACCACTGGTATAAAGTGCAAATATTGCCTGATATTATATTCATGTCATACTTCATGCAGCTTTTTCACACTTTTTGGCCATCATGCAGTGCAGTGTATCAAAACCATGCCTTCTATGTGCAGTAGTAGGACTTGAGACCCAACGAGACAATATAACCATACAGGTTATGATGAGAAGGAACTAAAGGAATCAAAAAGCCTTCCAAATCATATTTAAAAACTACATACCATGATATCTGTTATGCCAATGCATTCAAAGGAATAATGCACTCCATCTCCTGTCATTTCCTTGATTACCTCCTGGATTGGCTTGCTAAAATCTTTAGGATTGATGCAGTCAGTTGCTCCAAACAGCTTTGCCTTTTCAAACTTGCTGCTGTTTATATCTATAGCAATAATTCTTGATGCTTTAGAAACTTTACATCCAATAATGACTGACAGCCCAATGGCACCCAATCCAAACACAGCACACGTAGTACCAGGCTCCACCTGTTGATTAAAAAGGTTACTAATATTCCTTTTAGATTTTAAAACTGATTAATGTCAATGTAATATGATATACTAATGAAGTGTTTGTTTTGGATGGTTTATGGAAATCAGACGTTTTTTTTATTATATGATACAATATTGACCGTGCCAGTTGTCATGTATAGCAGTAGTAATACCTTTTCTTATACATTACATTCAGATCCCGCCAAATAAGTAAATATTTGGCTGTTCATGTGCATGCCCAAACAGACAAGATTCAGTACAAACTTGTGTTCAAAATGAACCTTAAAATCATCCCTAATATTAACTGTAACTGTAACAATAGATTTTAACCTAAATGATTTGACACTAATATCAACCTAACTCGTAAATTAATCCTTCATACTGAATATACTCCACCCCATCCACACTGCAGCAGCAACAGCAGCATACTCTTACCCTATCCAGAGAGGCTATGCCATAAGCTATGGGGCAGAAACCTCAGTCTTTTGCTCAAAATTATAAGATCCCAGTGCTTAAAGTTATTGATCCTTGCAATTTCACTTCATATACACCATATATACTCTATACTTTTAAAAAAAGGCCATTTATACATTTGCAGAGAAGGAATTCTTGAATCTCACTAAACTGTTCCCAGGGAGTTGGAGCTGAAGAACTGAATTTACCATATCACTGGACACTATATTTATGGTGATATGTTAGACATATATAGATGTTTAAGGAAAGGCAGTAACTGGAAGAATGTATGTCCAGCACCTTGAAATTCCAACAATATGCACGCTCAGTAAGACAAACAGTAAATCAAACAGGTCTAAACATTGATAAATTTACCTTGGCAGTATTAACAGCAGCTCCATATCCGGTGGGAAAACCACATCCAAAAAGACAGGCCTTCTCCATGGGAGCTTTGTCATCAATCTTTGCAACAGCCCCAGCAGGCATCACAATATATTCTGAAAAGGTGCTGGTCCATACAAAATGATCAACAACTTTTCCCTTGCATGAAAACCTTGATGTCTTGTCAAGAAGTACATTCTGTGGTTCATAGAAGCTGTATTTACAATCAAATAGGAAACAAAGGGTCATAAACAATTTCTGATTTACAAGTGCAATGGGTTTTTATACTTTACTCACAGAGCTCAATATAAATACATTTAATATCAATACTAACTGTATCAATCTGTCAATACTAAGGAAAATGGGCAGTTGGTAACCCAAACACATCAGAAGGAAACTGCAGCAAATACATTACTGAGAGTGGATAGTCATCATCCAAAATTAATTGATGAAATGCCTACAGGTCAATTGCTGTGCATACGAAGGAGCTGTACCAAATTGGATGATTTCAAAAAGGAAGCTAAATCAATGTATAGTCACTTTAAGGAGGGAGCCTATTCGCATAAATAAATTAAAAGAGCCAGAAAGCAGGTATTGGACAGTAAAGAGAGAGGACTTGTTGAGAAGCAGTGTAAAAAAAGATGAAGGAGGTTTAAATAGGTCCAGGAAGGAACCAGTTAGATTTGTTACAGAATATGGAGTTCATAAGAAATTAGTCAGAGAAGCTATGGCAAGGCACTGGCACGTGCTCATGAAATGCCCGATATTGGCAGGTATTGTAGGCTCCTACGTACTGACAATAGCACATAGAACTCACAATTGAGGAGGCGCTTTGATTCAAGCTGAGTGTATAAGAAAATAAAACAAAACGTGTGGAACTACTTTTTTCCAAAGTAAAGGTATGTTTCCTTGTGGAAATTTGTCCATTTGTCGATCGTACTGGGTATTCACAAATGCGGATGGTAATCAGGATTATTATATCAGTAGCTTCATGAATTGTTCTACAACAAGAGTAATTTATTGTTTATAGTGCCTGCATGGTAAATTATACGTGGGTAAGACGAAACAATAGTTGAGAATCCACATTTGCAAACACCTTCAGTATAAAGGAAAAGGGAAAATGAGCGCCCTTTAGTGCAACATTTTTTTTTTTCATGATGGTAAATTGGATGGATTGAAGGCTAAGGACATCTATGCTCTTAATATTTCCTCTATGTGAGGCAATACTACAGTGTTCTGAAGAAAGGAGAAACTCTGAATCTTAAATACTCTGGAAGTTAAATACTTACTTGAACTCAATTTTCAAATGTTTTTGTAAAGATAAATAGATCTGTATAAAGATAAGTTTTAAGTGGATTGGATATTGACTTTTTTTTATGTTCAGAACCCTATATAGGGTGTTGTCAATTGAACAAATGATCTATCTGCTGTATACAGGTTGTGACATTAGCGTAATATCTACTTTCTTTTAATGTGCCACCTTTTATCTGATGCAGTAGTTAATTGTTATTGTAAAAAAAAGTATATTTTTGTTTCATTTTGGGTTATTACCAATGTCACACCAGAGAGTTGCTTTTAAGAGATTTTGGAGGACAGGCTCAATACGCAAATGGTTATGTTGACATGCAGAGGAACCAGCCCTTTTTTTTATCAGTAAGTATTTTTATTATGGTAAGCAAGATGTACAGTTGAATGGAACAAGTACAAAAAGAAGCATAAGAATGAGCAGTATTTGGTATCTAAAGATTACAGAGAAATAATAGGGCAAGGTACACAATACAGTGGGAAGGTACAAATCGTGCGCCATGCCAGATACACATTGGAGTGCAATAAAATCCCCAGTAACATCTGGGAGGAGGAAAAGGAGGGCAAAGGAAAAATAAAGGAGGGTGGGGGGGAATGGGAAGGGATAGGGAAAAGAGGAAAAAAACAAGGTGGGTAAGGTTTGGGGTGGAGTGGGGAAGTACCAAGAAAACCCACATCTGAGGTCCTCCAATAATTGAAAAAAATCTCAATAGTTACATGGTGATACATTGTACATCAACCCAGCAACTCCAAATTTTGTCAAATTTATGAGGGCAGTTTCTACTGGCATAGGTGAGTTAAAGCTCATTAATGGCCGCTTTCCAGCTATTCACTGTAGGGGGAGCAGAGGACTTCCATTTCACAAGAATTTCTTGTCTAACAAGGCAGAATAAAACACAAAGAGCTGTTCATGTTTAGTAGGCACTGCACTCTCTACAAGGCCCAAGGGCCACTGGGCAGGGTCGAGTGGGAGGGAAAGATTACCCACTATGTTAACAGTGTCCACTACTTCCCGCAAATAGCTTAGCTTAGGGCAGAGCCAAAAAACATGAAAGTAACTGGTAGCAAGACCGCATCTGAGGCAGGTATCAGGAGTGCCAAGGTAAATGGTGGATATACGCTGGGGTGTCAGGGTCCTGTCCACAGCAGAAGTTCTGGTGTTTCTGCCAATACTCTACATGGCCACAGAAGGATACATCAGCCTCAGTCTGGTGCCAGATGGCCTTTATAAGGAGGCTCATCACTTCCTCTGGCTGCTGGATGATCTCTAGCTTCCCGTGGTTTGTTCCTGTTTCCTGTGGCTTGTGACTTCCTGATTTCGACCCGGCTTGTACTTGGACCTGTCTGCTCTACTGACCCCCTGATCTGACCTCGACTTGGCTAAAGGATACTTTCTCTCTCAATCCTCCGTGTATGACCTTGGCTATCCCACTGACCACGTCTGTTCTGTTTCCCACCCGGTATCTGACCTTGGCTCGAACTGACTAACCCGCAAATATCCAAATCCCGGAAGGCTTGCATACCACGCACAGGCGCCTCCAGTCTTCAGACCTATCCCCGTGCACCAGTTGTGCTTCTGAGTGGACCATCAACCAGCACTCCTACAGGTGACCTGTGCAACTTTGGGCCTGACTCCCGCTGTCCCACTCTCAGGGGAATACGGAACTTAGCCGCAAGGGAAGCCCTCTCTCCATTGGCCTCCATCACCAGGTATGTGATATGGGGGTTGTAGTAGACTCAATGTAAAAATTTTAATTGGAGAAACTGGTCCCTGGAGGAAATTAGAAGTTTCAGAAACTGAAGCAGACAGTCATCCCAATTCTCTTCCGTTTTGGTAGGAATGTAAGCATGCCCCATCTGATATAAAATAGACATTTATGTAAGGTTAAAAGGTGAGAGTTGTGAATATAGCACCGGCAACAGTATAGGCAAGTCAGCACATGATAACATTGATTCTAGAGAATCAGAGAGTAAAGTAATTTGGGCAGAAACTGTGCTGAGGCCGCATAACAAAATTGTAGGTATTTTAAAAACATAGCGTTAGGCAGATGAGAAATATTCCAAAGTGTGTTAAAGGGTAATAAAGTGCCCCATGGCATGATATGTTTAAGCAATGTGATTCCGTGTCTGGCCCATAGAATAGGATCTGGAATAGAGTGGAAGTGAGAAAGTTAGGGTTGCCCCACAATGGAATATAGGGAGAGTATGTGTCCGTCACTGTGTATTGGGCTCTGGCTTGCCTCCAAACTAAAAGGATTGTTTTCATTGGAGCAGTAATTGCAGAGATATATTGGGGTCCCCAAAAAGGCAGATTGCTAAGCTCCGCATAGGAGCTCAACACAGCAGCCTCAAGCGTCACAACGGCATTGGCACTGGGCTGTGCAAACCAACAACTGACCATCACAAGGACAGCCACCCCCAATAGTAAAGCAAAGGGTTCAGAAGAGCCAGGTCTCTGTGGTGAAGGGGTAAAGAAATATAAAGGTGTCTTAATCAGCTTAGGAGTTTTATCCACTTTAGCAAAAATGCATTTAGACATGGGAATGGGGGTTTGCCGGAAAAACGAAAAAAGATCTTAGGCAGGTACATCATTTTAATAAGGTTAACACTACCAATAGCACTGAGAGGAACAGGCGCCCATGTTGTGCATCAGCGGGTAAAATTGTGAAGGAGGGGAGCAAGGTTATCAAGCACATAGCATCTGAGATCCCTCTGGACTTCGACCCCCAGGTATTGAAATGTAGGTACAATGCAAAGAGAAACAAAGGATACAATTGCTGGAGGCCCAGAGGCTAAAGGAAAATCTAGGACTTATCCCAGTTAACCTGAAAACCCACGTATGATCCAAAAGTATCAATAACCGCTAGGGCAGAGCGAAGGGAAAAATCAGAATCTCTGAGGTATAAAAGGGTATCATCATCATCCAACGATATGTATTCCACCCAATCACCCACCAGTAGCCTGCGCAACATAATTGTAGACTGAATAGGACAGGCCAAGAGTTCAAGAGCAAGGGCGAAAAGCCCCCTTTTAAACAGAGCATCCCTGCCTGGTACCCCACTGGAGAGGAAAGGGAGAAGAGAATGTGCAATTTGAACTGAGCGGTAGACACATGGTAAAGACAGCCCACCCAGGACAAAAATTTAGGGCTAAAATCAAACTTCTGAAGGAGTTCCCAAAGGTAATTCCATTCAAGTGAATTTAATGACTTTTTTCAATGTCTAGCGATACCACCACCCCAGTATCCCTCCCTGGGTCAGATATAAAAGCAAAAAGGAGTTGAATGTTAATATCAGTGCCTTTCCCACGCATAAAGCCTGTTTGATCTTTGTGACCAGGGTGGAGATAACACCCCCAGATGCCTAAACAGAATTTTCCCCAGGACTTTATCATCTGTATTAATAAGAGAGATGGGACAATAGGAGGTACACAGTTTGGGGTCTTTCCCATGCTTAGGGATAACCACTTCGATGGCCTCAGACATAGAGGCAGGGAGGAATCTGACATCTAGACTTCAGTCAGAGTGGGGAGCATGGGAGTCATTGTGCATTTTATAAAACTCCACAGAAAGACCATCCAGCCCAGGAATATTTTCATAGTGTAATTTCTCTATGGCAAATTAAATCTCATCCAGGGATATCGGCTTCTCTAATACTTCCTGTTGAGAGTCTGACAAAGTAGGTACCGCAAAAGATTCAAAATAATGAAGTAAGCTAGTCTGATCAAAAGGAACATATAGAGGAATACAGGGCAAGATAATAGTCTACAAAATGCTGGTTGATGCAAATTGGGTCATATAATGCAGTACCATCTTGATCTAGAATACAAGCTATTGTGGTCAAGGAAGTCTGCACCTTAGCCAGTCAGGCCAACAGATGCCCAGTTATCTCTCCTTATTCAAAACTACATTGCTGTTGAGCTAACATAATTTTCCTGAATACAGGCATACCTCGGTTTACGTATTTATTTCGTTCTGCGGGACTTTTCATATAGCAAAAAATTTTTAAACTGAAACACCATTTCCCATAGGCATGCATTGAAACCAATCAATCCGTTCCGGAGGTCAAAAAAAAGTAAACGCTACTAAAATACTGCATGAGTTATTTTTAAGTCATGCGGTATTGTAGTAGTGACAAAATGTGTTAATGTTACCGCTGTCAGCTGGGTTCCCTACTGACAGCTGAATGTAAAAGAATTGCCATCAATTAAAAAAATAAATAAATAAATGGCGTGGGCCCCCCCCTCCCATCCATACAAAGCCCTTCGGGTTTTTTAAAAATGGTGTGGGGGCTCCCCCCAAAATCCATACCAGACCCTTATCCGAGCATACAGCCCGGCAGGTAAGGAAAGGGGGGGACGAGCGAGCGCCCTTCCTCTTGAACCATACCAGGCCACATTCCCTCAACATGGGGGGGGTGCTTTGGGGCAGGGGGGCTCCCCCGCAAAGTACCTTGTCCCCATGTTGATGGGGAAAAGGGCCTCTTCCCCACAACCCTGGCCGGTGGTTGTGGGGGTCTGCAGGCAGGGGGCTTATCAGAATCTGTAAGTCCCCTTTAACAAGGGGGACCCTAGATCCCGTCCCCCCATGTGAATGTGTATGGGGTACATGGTACCGCTACTCACTCGCAAAAAAAACAAAAAGTGTAGTGTGAAAAAAGACAGGACACAGTCTTTGACAAGTCCTTTATTAAAAGAAAAAAATAAAAGAATGTCCCCTGCAGTAGATTCAACGTCAATCACGATGCCCGCCCCGAAAAAAGAGAGTTAAAAAAAAGGCTCCGTTTCAATGATGTCACCTGGGGTGGCCCCGCCCCTTATTTAAGAACTGTCAAACCACTGGAGCAGGCAGATGGCCGGGGGCCATCGTCGGAAGCAGAGCTTTTTTTATTTAATTCTTTTTTCGGATCGTCGTTGGCAAACATTCTTTTATTTTTTTCTTTTAATAATGGACTTGTCAAAGACCGTGTCCTGTCTTTTTTCACACTACACTTTTTGTTTTTTTGTGAATGAATAGCAGTACCATGTACCCCATATTCTGTCACATGGGGGGCGGGATCTGGGGGCTCCCTTTTTAAAGGGGGCTTCCAAATTCCAATAAGCCCCCTGCCCGCAGACCCCCACAACCACCAGCCAGGGTTGTTTGGATGAGGCCCTTGTCCCCATCAACATGGGGACAAGGGGTGCTTGGGGGGGAGCCCCCCCACTCCAAAGCACCCCCCCATGTTGAGGGCATGTGGCCTGGTATGGTTCAGGAGGGGGGGCCCTCGCTTCATCCCCTCCTTTCCTGACCTGCAGGGCTGCATGCTTGGATAAGGGTCTGGTATGGATTTTGGCATGGGATACACCATTTATTTTTTTATTTTGGCATGGGAGTTCCCCTCAAAATCCATGCCAGACCGGAAGGGCTTGGTATGGATGGGAGTGGGGACCCCACGCCATTTTTTTATTTATTATGGTGCCGGTTTTTAAATGTAATTACCACTTTTATTTTCTTCACTATAGCTCAGAGAATCAGCTGTCATTTCCCCCCCCCCCAGCTAAAAGAGAAAGTTTCCTTTTAGTTTATTTTCCTAAGTGATCACATCCCCCTGACAAAGCCACGTGACCCGGTGGCGCAATGACCCGGTGGCGCGGTGGCGTAGGGGAGGGGCTCTGACGTCACCACGCACTCAGGAACCAGACGGCGAGTATAGGAAGTGTGCTCAGAACACACAGAGGAGGCTCCATATTACATTATAAGGCATGATTTCTTTGTAGCTATTGTGAGTGTACAAACAACTGGCTATAAATAAAAAGGTGTTTTAAGGATAAGGCACTATATTTATCTTTTTTTTCATGTGTTTGAACTGTGGAGAAACAAGGAGAGATGGAGGAGTAGATCCATAGTCCTTTGTCATAAAGAGGGAGAGGTCCATGTATTCCAGTCCATATTAAGGGATCAGACCATCTAGGAAACCCCAGTGATGAAGCACTGCATTACACCTATAATTCTTTATATTGCAAATGCAGAGCAGCTGAAATATCCTGTCATTATTAGGACATGAAGCTATTTTTTCCTAATTGCATGTTAGGCTTCCATTAAGGTGAGCACATAATAATATTAAGACCTGTTGAGCAAATTACAGGAAGCGAACACCGTTTGGATTACACCAATTGATTTTGGGATATGTGTGGGAACACCTATACAATAATCCTAAAATTAAAGTGTTACTGTACCCAGGAGCCTGCATTCACTCTATCTGCTCTCCCACAGTACACACAACATGGAAATGCAATTATTTTAGTAAATATAAACTGCTAAATACCTTTTTTTCATCAGCAGTTAGAGTAGTCCTGTGACTTCTATCAGCGGTCAGCCGAGCACTGGTTAAAGTTTGTAGGAGATTCCTTTCTGCTCTAAAAGAATGCGGAACCTCTGACCTCTCTCTGGACAGTGCTGATTGGCCTTGTGCTGATCACATGCACTCTCCCAAGAAAAAAATTTAATAAAAAACCTCTTTAGCAATACACACCAAACTGAGCATGTGCAGAGTGGCTCCACATGATATGTCTTATCAGAAGATAAGAGGGGGACACTGGAAGGGTGGATCAGAGAAGTCAGGATCAAACAGCATTTTTACACAATGCAGAGGATTAACACCTTAGGTTCCACAGTTAGGATAACAGGCATGCTTTACTGCATACACAGATTGTTGTGGGTTTAGTAACACTTTAAGAGAATTCTGTTTAACAGCAAATGCACTCAATTTCTCAATAACACATATAAAAGTTTGCTGTTTCTTGAGTACTTACTGTGATTTAAAGCAAAAATTACTCTGTGCATTTAGACAAGAACTGCACTTTCCACACTGAGGAAGACAGAGTGGGACAACTTTATCTCCTGAAAAAAGAAAATGATTACAATTGCAAAATGAGTTATTTAGTATATACGTGCAATTATTATGTAAAAAAATATATATTCAACATTAACTTTTAGAATAATTATTTTCACTTATTCAAAGTTCAGGCAACCAGCCTTTATAATGTACAAAATGAAAAGCTGATTCACAATGCAATTTAATGCACATGTTTAGACAGGGACCCCTAGGTATTAGTCAGGTTGAACCAATCTACTTAGACTACTCCTGTCATTACAGAAGTATGAGATCTACCTTTGCTTATCTGCTTTTGAAAATCCTAGACACTTGCCAGTGCATACTTCTCAATTTTCCCATATTCCATGGGTCCATCTCAAGATTAAATCCTGTAGTCTAGTGAATCTGGGCTGGAGTCCTAGAGCCCTGGAACCTAGTGGTGAAATGAGTTACCTTACCAGGGCTCCACTATTTATCTGACATGGATGCGCTAGCAAGGGGCACCCTGGGCACCTCTTCTGCGGGGTGCCCTGGGTCTCAGATGCAGTGCAAGCCCATTCTATTATTGTGACAAGCAGCTGATGGGGAGATATGTTGGCTGCCTTTTCTAACAATACAGTAGGGAAAGGAAGCCCCAAAAGTCACACATCACAGCAAAACCCTATGAGAAAGTTAATGACGGCCCCAGCCTGTATCCCTACAAGACCAAGCCCCCCAATGAATTTCACCCCACCTCTGATACTCAATCACTATCATAATGCTCCTCAGAGCTACAGGCAGCTCCCCCTAGGTTACTTCTCCACTCTGATGGGTGTCATACCACAACAGGAGTAGCCAGGGAAGAGGGACGTCCCCCTGGAGGAAACCGCACTGATCCGAGGTCTGAAGATGGAACTGGGGGACACCATTACCTGGGGAAAGTCGAGGCAGGGGGACAGGTAACAAAACTTTGCACAGGAAGATTTATTCTGGGAGGGGTGATTGGGGAAGGAAGGATAATTTGTGCTGAGGGCTATTTGACAGGAGAGAAGATTTGTGTTTGTGGGGGAAGGGGGGATTTGTGCTAGAAGGGGAGAAGGATTTGGGCTGGGGTGGATTTGTGCTAGAAGAGTGGGAGGATATATGCTGAGGGAGATTTGCGCTAGAAGGGGGAGGATTGGTCCTGAGGGGGAGAAGATTTGTTCTTGGTGGGACTGGGTGAGAATTATGTTTGTGGGAGAATTTGTGCTGGGTGGAATTTGTGCTAGAAGGGAGGAAGATTTGTGCTGGGAGGATTTGTACTAAAATGGGAGAAGGATTTGTGCTGGGGCATATTTGTGCTAAAATGGTGGGAGGATTTATGCAGGAGGGGAGGGATTTTTGCTAGAAGGGGGGGCTATAAGGGAGGCATTGGGCTAAAGGAGATAGTAGTGGAAAGGATTTGTGCAGGAAAGGGAAGACAATTAGTGCTAGAAGGAGAGACTTGGTGAAGGATTTGTGCTGGGAGGGGAGATTTGGGGGATGGGGGTCACAGAGTTTTTAGCTGTAGGGGGAAGAGAATTTAAGAGGTAGTTTGTGCTAAAGGAGAAGAGGATTTGTGCTTGGGTGGGATTGGGGGGGATTTGAGGGGTAGGATTTGTGTTGAGAGGGAGGGTTTGGGGGGATTTGTGCTGGAAGGGAGGATTGGAGGAGGAGGATAGGATGTGTGCTGGGAGGGAGGATTTGAGTGGGGATGGGGGTTGGAATGGATTTGTGCTAGAAGATGGATTTTTGTTGGGAGGGGGAATGAGGCGAGTATGAAGATTAGTGATGATTTTTTTTCAGAGGGAGGTAATAGTGATTTTCGCTGAAAGAGTAAAGTGGGGTAGAATTTGGGGGGGGGATTTTGCACACTCCTGTACTCACTGTAGTAGGCACCGCTGCTTCACTGATCTCCACAAGCTCCCAGGTCCCATACCAAGTAGCTGTTCTGAACACAGGAGGTTGCTTGCTTGGCACAGGTTCCATTAAGAGGACACTTTGCATTCTCTCAATAAATACAAAATGTTCTTTGATTAGATGAGGTGGATGGTGGTTAATAGCATATTCTTTACCTCATTCATTCAGAGAACACTTTGCATTCACTCAGAAAATGCAAGAACAAACACATTTTATTTTAACACCATTTTGCTTTTCTTTTATATTATCTATTTAAACATATTCAGTACAACCATGTTAAGGTTGCATGAAAAGTCTTGGCACTTATTAGTATATATATTTATACACTGCTCAAAAAAATTAAAAGAACACTTTGAAAACACATCAGATCTCAATGGGGAAAAATATCATGCTGGATATCTATACTGATATGGACTGGGTAATGTGTTAGGAACTTAAGGATGCCCCATCGTTTGATGAAAATTATCAACCTACAGAGGACTGAATTCAAATACACCCCGAAAATCAAAGTGAAAAAATGATGCAGCAGGCTAGTCCAATTTGCTGAAATTTCATTACAGCAACTCAAAATGGTACTCTGTAGTTTGTATGGCCCTCATGTGCTTGTATGAATGCCTGACAACATCGGGGCATGCTCCTAATGAGATAATGGATGGTGTCCTGGGATATTTCCTCATAGATTTGGACCAAGACATCACTGAGCTCCTGGACAGTCTGAGGCGGCGTCGGATGGACCAAAACATGATATCCCAGAGGTCTTCTATTGGATTTAGCTCAGGCGAGAGTGGGGGCATTCAATAGTATCAATTCCTTCATCCTTTAGGAACTGCCTGCATACTCTTGCCACATGAGGCCGGGCATTGTCTTGCCCCAGGAGGAACCCAGGACCAACTGCACCAGCGAAGGGTCTGACAATGGGTCCAAGGATTTCATCCCAATACCTAATGGCAGTCAGGGGGCCATTGTCTAGCCTGTAGAGGTCTGTGCATCCCTCCATGGATATGCCTCCCCAGACCATCACTGACCCACCATCAAAACAGTCATGCTGAACAATGTTACAGGCAGCATAACATTCTCCGCGGCTTCTCCAGACCCTTTCACGTCTGTCACATGTGCTCAGGGTGAACCTGCTCTCATCTGTGAAAAGCACAGGGTGCCAGTGGCGGTCCTGATAATTCTGGTGTTCAATGGCAAATGCAAATCGAGCTCTACGGTGCCGGGCAGTGAGCACAGGGCCCACTAGAGGATGTCGGGCCCTCAGGCCACCCTTATAAAGTCTGTTTCTGATTGTTTCGTCAGAGACATTCAAACCAGTGGCCTGCTGGAGGTCATTTTGTAGGGTTCTGGTAGTGCTCATCCTGTTCCTCCTTGCACAAAGGAGCAGATACCAGTTCTGCTGATGGGGTAAGGACCTTCTATTTCCCTGTCCAGTTCTCCTAGAGTAACTGCCTGTCTCTTGGAATCTCCTCCATGCTCTTGAAAATTTGCTGGGAGACACAGCAAACCTTCTGGCAATGGCATGTATTGATGTGCCATCCTGGAGGAGTTGGACTGCTTGTACAACCTCTGTAGGGTCCAGGTATTGCCGCAGTCAGAAAAGATGAATAGGGAAAAAAATCTCAGTGGCTTCCACCTGTAAAACCATTCCTGGTTTGGGGGTCATCTCATTGTTGCCCATCTAGTGTACCTGATGTTAATTTCATTAACACCAAAGCAGCTGAAACTAATTAACAACCTCCTGTGCTACTTAACTGACCAGATCCATACCTCAGGAGTTTAATTGACTTGATACAATACTCTAATTAAAAAGTGTTCTTTAATATTTCTGAGCAGTGTATATGTAACACACTGCATTATTACTGGTTGCAGGATGTTAATTAATCACAAGATGGCAGTGTTCTGCAGTTCAGTTTTCCAGTAAAAGTAAAGGTAGTAAAGCCTTGTTGAACTTGTGTGCTGGTAGCAGGACTGAGCTGCATTTAGACAAGCAGTGAACATACTACATTTCCCAGAAGAGCTTGCAAAGGGGTGGGGGCATATATATTGAAAACTTTATAGGAAGGAAGTAGATGGTGAGAGGTGAAGGATGGGTGTGTGTGTGTGTGTGGGTGACTCCAGAGATCCAGGCTGGATCAGGCTGTTTCATGGAAATGGAAAGAAGGACTACAGACCGCTGGTATCGCTGACGAGCAGAACAGTCAATCCTGCAGGCAGGCGGATCGTAGTGCTGTCATCAGTATCACTTCTTAACAGAGGGACCAAAAGAATATGCCCCCCCAACCAAGAGACTTCCTCTCACGCTGCAAATGCTGCTGGGTGAGAGGGTTCCATAACCCAGATCATCACAAGTTGCAAGTGACTGTGTTAATTATAATTGTTCAGTTCAGTAAACCTTACACCACAGCTTATCACACGGAGACCCAGACTGCCTTGCCCATTCTGTATTATGGCCTACTGCTTTAATGTCTAAAATCCTGAAACCACAGGACGTTGGTCATTGTCTACAAATGGTGGTATATATACTAGAATTTTTTATTTTTATTGTTTTATACTAGTAATGGCAGCGATCAGTAACTTATAGTGGGACTGCGGAACTGCAGCGGGCATTCTGACACTAACTGACACTGGCTAACTGCCACTGACATCCCCAGTGACACTAATACAGTGATCAGTGCTAATAAAAAGCACTGACACTGGGTAGGAAGAGGTTAATATCTAGGGCGATCAAAGGGTTAAATGTGTGCTGTTTTACTCTCTGCTGTGTGTGTGTGTTTTACTGTTTATGCACATTGCTTTGTATTGCTCTGCTATGCTGAGCAATACAAAGCAGTGTGCTGGAGCTGACAGGGGAGAGATCTGTATTGTTTACATACAGACTTCTCCCCTGTCAGTGATACTTGGCAATCGCCCCTACGCAGAAATGCAAAATCAAGTATATATACTAGATTTTGCACAGCCCTGCCGCCCTGTAGCAGTATTTCTGCTATAGGGCGGTGGGCAAGCAGTTAGTGTCCTTGTTATAGATGTAGGCTATTTACATACTTCCCGAAGACTGATGGAAAAACTCGCAGAGATGGCATGTCCCATCCCCACGTTGCTAAGACACTCCTAGCTGATTCATGTGCTCCCAGATGATTCATGTGCTCCCAGTTCATTCATGTGCTCCCTTTCTCCTGTAGCAGTAGCTATGAGCTCAGCGATAATGTGATGGAGGTGATAGTGGGCCACACATAAGCGGAGGTTTGAGAGCTTGTGCTTGTGGTGATATGGGTGAGCAGTAACAGTTGGAAGTGTCTTAGCAACCTCCTAGCAATGGAGCAGGATGATGCCATTCCTGGGAGTTTTTTGGCTATGCTTCGAGAGGTACATGAATGGCCTACAACTGTACCAAGAACATTATTCAACTTTAGTAAAAGCTGCATAGCTTGCTTTTTACTACAGGTGTAAAGAAACACATAGGCAGTTTTTGGTAAAGTTGAAATAACCCTTCAAAGGAGGGATAAAGGACAGAGGGATTTAGTTCCAAAAGGGAAACAGTTCCTCTAAGTGAGCTTTACAAATCTGTTTACATTTAAGCTACATTTATGCTACCAAAAAGTAAAGAATACCTGGTTTTAATCCAGTTACACCTTTTCCAACACTTTCAATTATTCCAGCTCCTTCATGGCCAAAAATAACAGGAAAATTCATCCCTGGAAGTTCACCATGGATTGCATGGTCATCTGTCCGACATATTCCTGTGCTTACCATCTAATAGAAACCAAAATAAAGAAAAATTATAGGATTTAGAAAAAACAAGCATAATACTAAATTTGATTTCCGATTGAATGTTCTATACACATACATTTCCAGAAACTGCTGAGTGTATGGCTAACATTAGCATTACTGCTGAACAGGTCCTATGGATGAAAATAGATTTAAGAGAGAAAATTGGATCTTTTTGGGCTCTTTTTAAAAAGCAATCAAATGGCCATGATACTGTAAAAGAAAAAAAAAAAGAAAAAAACAAAACACATTGCACATTATATATTTCCAAAGCTGCTATTTCAAAAGGGAAAGACAGAGGAGTGGGCCATAAACAAATCACAAACTTGGACTGTTCAGCAGAGGGAAGGATGTTGAATGGAATAATCTGAGGAGGTGGAGGGGGGGGGGGGGGTGAGGGTTGTCCCACTGCAGAAAGAGAAACAAATCAGGAGAGTTCAGGAGGGGGAGGATAAAAGTAGAGCCCTTTGAGCCATGTTCCACGCCCCGACCACCCACTGGCAAATCAGAGTATAATGTTCTATTTTAGCAGCTATGGTTGGATAAAGTAGAGCCCTTTGAGCCATGTTCCAGGCCCCGACCACCCACTGGCAAATCAGAATATAATGTTGTATTTTTGCAGCTATGGTTGGATAAAGTAGAGCCCTTTGAGCCATGTTCCACGCCCCGACCACCCACTGGTAAATCAGAGTATAATGTTGTATTTTAGCAGCTATGGTTGGATAAAGTAGAGCCCTTTGAGGCATGTTCCACGCCCCGACCACCCACTGGCAAATCAGAATATAATGTTGTATTTTTGCAGCTATGGTTGGATAAAGTAGAGCCCTTTGAGGCATGTTCCACTCCCCGACCACCCACTGGCAAATCAAAGTAATATGTTGTATTTTAGCAGCTATGGTTGGATAAAGTAGAGCCCTTTGATTCATGTTCCACGCCCCGGCCACCTACTGGCAAATCAGAGTATAATGTTGTATTTTAGCAGCTATGGTTGGATAAAGTAGAGCCCTTTGAGCCATGTTCCACGCCCCGACCACCCACTGGCAAATCAGAGTATAATGTTGTGTTTTAGCAGCTATGGTTGGATAAAGTAGAGCCACTTGAGCCATGTTCCACGCCCCCCGACCACCCACTGGCATTTCAGAGTATAATGTTGTATTTTAGCAGCTATGGTTGGATAAAGTAGAGCCCTTTGAGCCATGTTCCACGCCCCGACCACCCACTGGCAAATCAGAGTATAATGTTGTGTTTTAGCAGCTATGGTTGGATAAAGTAGAGCCACTTGAGCCATGTTCCACGCCCCGGCCATCCACTGGCATTTCAGAGTATAATGTTGTATTTTAGCAGCTATGGTTGGATAAAGTAGAGCCCTTTGAGCCATGTTCCACGCTCGACCACCCACTGGCAAATCAGAGTATAATGTATTTTAGTAGCTATGGTTGGATAAAGTAGAGCCCTTTGAGCCATGTTCCACGCCCCAAACACCTGCTGGCAAATCAGAGTATAATTTTGTATTTTATCAGCTATGGTTGGATAAAGTAGAGTCCTTTGAGCCATGTTCCACGCCCCGGCCACCCACTGGCAAATCAGAGTATATTGTTGTATGTTAGCAGCTATGGTTGAATAGAGAGAGAGAGAGAGGAGTACAATGCACAATAAGAAGTCCAGCTACAAATCATTCTACAGGTTTTCAGCACTAAAAATAGATCACTAGATAAAGAAAACGTTACCTTAATCCGAACTTCTTCTGTTTTCGGTGGTTGCACCTCGATCTCCTCAATCGACAGTGGCTGATTTGGGGCCCAAGCCACAGCTGCTTTGCATTTTATAACCTATAAACGAAACATACATTCAACGAATAAGATCAGTACAGATGTTGTTTTATGGTACTACAAGAAATTGGTTGTTTATTTTTATTTAATAATGGAAGGAGCTATTTTCAACCCATTTGCAGCCATAACCCTTTTTGTTTTTCACACAAATACTAAAATGCTCATATATTTTATATAAGGCACTTACATTATTTTGAATTGCCTGAAAGGCAAGGCCCTGTATATGGTTGTGTTTAGTTTTTTATGTCACATGATGATTTTTAAGCTTCTGTTCATCAAATCTATATTGTGCATGCCCATTAAACTGGAAAACTACTGTATCTAAAATTGACCACTGACAACACTTTAAAAGCATTTACAGGTAATCATTTTAGAGTTAACCATGCATGATAGCCCTAAAATTATTACTTTCATTTTCATATGCAAACCCACTGGACTGGTCCAGGACAAGAAGGATGCCAAGTGGGCATATACCCCAGGTGCCATGTTGAGAGGGGGGGCACTGGTGAAGTAGCTGCTTATGCCACTCCTCACTGACAGGAGTGACTTGCAGTGTCACTCCTGTCTTTAAGAACAGCTTTCTCCTCCCTCCAGCCAGCGGGAAGGGGGGGGGGGGGAGAGCTCATGCTGAGACTGAGAGCTCTCCTCAGTCCTAGCACAAAGCTGCTAAGGAGTGAGGGCAGACTGTCTTTCTTCCTCTCTTCCCTTATCATGTGATCATGTGACTTGTCCTACAACTGGAGAGGCGAAAAAGGGGCTGCCTCTTCAATCCAGACAGACACAGGACTGTGAGTAAAAGAAGCAAAAGAGGGACAACTCAACAACATTGTTGCTGTTATATTTACCCCATAACAGTATATCACTTTACTGAATACTGATCTGTTGGGGATTTTTTCTCCTAAAATTGATTGTTATGTTAGGATTATGCCATGCATTGTGTTTTTTCTCATCATCCTATATTCACATTGGGGCATGTTTTCCATTCCTTAATTTACTGTTTACTCTTCTTTAATTTATTATGGTTTTAACAGCATTATAGTTAATTTTTCAATTCTTAAATTTTTTTTTGTTCCATAAAGTTTATTGAGAAAAATTCAAAACATATAAATTGTACAAAGTAATACAATGTGCCAAAGAGAAACGCGGTGAAACACCAAACGCATATGCCAAACAATAAGAAATACTCAGGTGAACAAAATGATAAAGCCATCTCGTGTCACCGGTAACAATAATGTAGTTGAACTAGGAGAAAAAACACGAGAACACAGCAAAAAAAAAAAAGGCAAACACTAATCACAAACAACCACACAGCGTACGAAATATCACCAAACGGGCAGGGTCATTTGTTTGCTCCCCCATATATCTTATATCGTAGAGTAGCAGAGTAGGGGGGAAGGGGAGAGGGCTAAAGGTTCTGGTGCAAGGAAGAAGTTGCGAAGATATAGAAAGCTCGGTGCTATCCACGAGGAGCAACAAAGGTACCACTCAAAGGTAGCCAACGCGTAGGAAAATAACTCCGTGGATTGGGAGAGGCACATGTGCAAGTGTAGTCTGGGTGTGAGATTAGGTTGCCTATGGACAGAAAAATAAACATATGTGTAGGAAGAAAAAGGAAAAATGAAGTAGAGAAAATGTGAAATACAGGAAAGACAGAAATGGCAAGTACAGCACACAATGAGGAAGGAGTCAGGAGGGGATAAAAAAAATGGTGAGGAGCTAGAGAGCCAAAGAAGGAAAAAAAAAAAAAAAAAAAGGGGAACAAAAAAAAAGAAAAAAAAAAGGGGGGGTTAAGGGTCAGAGGGGAAGGAGACTAAGGGGGGGGGGGACGGTATGGATAGACATGTCATATGAGTGGAAGCTCCAAGGACAGAGCTGGTGTGCTCATCCCCAAGGGGGTAGAGACATAGATCAGACAATCGGGCGCCAGGGAAAAGGAGTGTCTGGCTCAGAGTCAGGTAGAAAGACCAATGAGGGATGGGTATTCGGAAGTCGTTTGGAAGTGAATCCAACACGACCAAATATGGGAAAATTTAGGGGTTATCTTGGGAGGAAGCAATCAGCTCCTCCATCTCTGCAATTCTTCCCAGACGGGTGAACCAATCTTTTACTGAGGGGGTGTGAGAAGATCTCCATAGCACAGGAAGGCAGAGTCTAGCAGCATTAATCATATGCATGGCTAAGGATTGGAAGTATAGACGTTTGGGGAGCGGTGTATGGTGGAGGAGAAATTGGGCCGGGGAGAAATCGAGAGGTAAAGTGGACACTGACGAGGTTATACGGTGGACTTCCTGCCAGAAGGGCAGGACGATAGGACAGGACCACCAAATATGGAGAAGGGACCCATCAGGTGCTCCACATCTCCAACAGTTATTGGGTAGCGAGGGGTTAAAACGATGAGTTCTGGATGGGGTAATGTACCAACGGGAAGCTAGCTTGTATCCGTTTTCTTGGGTCGATACATTCAGCGAACATTTGTGGGAGTACGTAAAAATTTGGTCCCAATCTGAGGAAGAAAAATCTATATCAAGGTCTCTCCTCCAAGCTCGGCAAGCGGGGAGCGAGTTAGGATTCCCATCACCGGTTAAAAGGAGGTACATGGATGAGATTAAATGCCGCTGGGGTTCAGCCTTAGAACAAATTGATTCAAAGGGGGTGAGAGGACGAGTCCATTTGTGGCGGTGAGCAGAGGATGTGAGAAAATGCCTGATTTGAAGGTAGGCCCAAAAGGGGAAGGTATGATCTTTCATGGTGCTCGCCAAAGAGGAGTGGGATTTCAATTGGCCTTTATGAAAAAAATGTTCCGCTTTCACCTGGCCATGCGGCCAATGTTCCGACAGGAAGGCCTTGTGCATGCCCGGAGGAAAATCCGGGTTTAAGCAAAGGGAGGTTAAAGGGTTGGGGGCATCCGAGATGGAGCCGACTTGCATGTCAAGCGGAAGATGCTCAAGGTAGGACCAATCAGTGGATGAGTGAGAAGGGCCTGGCGGGTATGTTGCGTCATGAGCCACAGGATCGATGCTACAGGAGAAGGAGAGAAGGAGTTTTCCAGATGCACCCAGTCTTTGGTAGTCGAATGAATATTCCAGTCTATAATTCTGCAAAGATGGCAGGCCCAATGATATAGCCTGAGGTCTGGGAGCCCAATCCCACCCCTGGATTTGGGGAGAACCAATTGGCAGAAAGATATGCGCGGGCGCTTGTGGTTCCAAAGGAAGAAGGAGAACATTCTCCTACATGAAGCAAAAAAGGCGGGTGGCAATTGGATAGGTAAGGTTTGAAATAAATAGAGGAGGCGGGGGGAGAATGTTCATTTTCAGTATAGCAGCTTTGCCAAACCAGGAAAAGCATGGGTGATGCCATTTAGTGAGATCTTCCTGAATGGATTTAAGTGCTGGGATAAAGTTTTTGACGTAAAGGTCAGAGAGGTCGCACGTAAGCCCAGGTAAGTGAGGGTCCACTTTCCCATCCAAACGGGAACTGCGATCGGCAAAATGAGACTACGTCAGAAGGGAGGGAGACATTGAGGGCGTATGACTTTGAATGGTTGATTTTAAGGTTCGACATGTATTGAAAAAGTGAGAAATCTTTAAGCAAATTGGGCAAGGTGGTCCGAGGTTCCGTTAGAAACAGCAAAATGTCATCCGCATAGGCGGCGAGTTTATACTCTTGAGCCGGTGCGGAAACACCCTTAATATCTGGGTTAGAACGGAGTTTACGCAGCAGTGGCTCTAAAGATAGTACAAAGAGGAGAGGAGAAAGGGGGCAGCCCTGGCGCGTGCCATTGCCAAGAGAGAAATGGTTTGATAAATGGCCATTCACCCGAACCTGTGCCGTGGGTCCAGAATACAAGGTCATGATGAAATTAAGCATGTGTTCTCTCAAACCAATCGCCTGTAGTGTTGCCCTCAAATAGTCCCAGGACACTCTGTCAAAGGCCTTCTCAGCGTCCAAAGAGAGAAGGAACCCTGGATTCTTTGATGTGCGAAGCCAATGGATGAGGTTGAGGGCCTTGATAGTATTGTCTCTCACTTCCCTGCCAGGGATGAAACCCACTTGATCGAGGTTAATCAAAGAAGGGAGTAAGGGGAGGAGACGGTTGGCTAAAATTTTCGCATAAAGTTTCACGTCTACATTCAGAAGGGAGATGGGCCTATAATTGGAAACCAAAGTTGAATCCTTATCTCCTTTGGGTATGACAGTGATGTGCGCTTCTAGTAGGCGATGACACGGCACAGGGATTGAACAGAAAGTGTTGAAAGCCGAAAGGAAGGGGTTGGACAAGATGTTTAAAAACTCCTTGTAATATACTGCAGACAGGCCATCAGGGCCCGGGCTTTTACCAGACTTCATTTGTTTGACGGCCCGCGACAGTTCCTCTGCCGTGATATTTTGCTCCAGTTCCTGGGCGGATGTCTCAGAAAGTGTAGAAGGGCTTATAAAGACGAAGAAAGTCCGAGATCACCGTGGCTCTGAGTTTGTTGGTTTCAGGTGGGGGACGTTCCGGAGGGAGGTTATATAATGCCTTATAATACTGCTCAAAATGAGAAGCAATGTCAGCATTAGTGGTGGCAAAAGAACCGTCTGGACCCCTGATTTTGTGGATTGTTAAGCTTGACTTTTTCGCTTGAAGGGATCTGGCAAGGAATCTCCCGCTTTTGTTCGCAAACTCATAAAACAACTTTTGAGATAAGACATATCTACGTTTAGCCACCTTGCCCAGTTCGGTCAAAAGCTGTGTGCGGGTGTTTGTGAGTTCAGTCAAGGTTGAAGCCGCTTGACTGTGTTTGTGAACTCTTTCCAAAACTGGATGCGCTCCATAAGATGTTGCAGATGTGCTTGTCTCTCCCTTTTACGCTTCGTAGCCATAGCTATGAGAACCCCGCGAATTACGCATTTATGTGCCTCCCATTGCGTCAAGGAGGAGGTATCTGAAGTCTGGTTGGTCGCGAAGTAATCTACCAATTGGGAGCGGATCTCGGCTTCGTTTGTTGGGTCGGAAA